ATCTGCAGGTTTTTGTCTTACTTAAGTGCCTAATAAAGTATTTTTGCTGTGGAATGAGGACATCATGAAGTAAAATGTGAGCACAAATGATTCTAGAAAATTACCAGGGAAGGAAGTGACTCACACTTCTACTCTGATCAATATCATCAGGTGCAGGCACATTTCACAGTTTGAGAGGACAATGATACTGTGCCTGCGAGGAGCTTGCCCAGAGAAGGCGCTTAAAGTGTTGGCTGAGTTGAATTAAGGGCAGAAATTCAACTGACCAGTTGTTCCAATTCGAAGAGTCTACTATTTCTCAAGAGATGGGTCAAAAACTGAACAAGCGTTTTAGTCTAACATTCAAAACCTTCCAAAATCTGACTCTTTCATTCATCACTGTAGTCTTAGCACCTAGTACAGTGCCTGGCAGATAATATGTGCTCAATAAATAATGGTTGAATACATTAATGAGTTTGTTAATTAATGATTCCAATGTTTCTTTCTAGCCTCATCTTCTACTATCTTCTAGCATGAGCCCTTCACTATAACCAGGCTGATCTACTAGTGATTTCCTAAACACTAACTTACTCATTCCTACCTCCAAAACTTTGCTCACAAACCTTCCCCACAAGCAATGTTCACTCCTTCTCTTATGCAGATTTGTCCCACTTTTTGAGATGTGATATTTTGAACTGTGTAAACTTGGCTAAGCTAGAACAACATTTCCCAGGATCTCTTTTCCTGTATGTTTCCAGGTTAGAGTTGACCAAAAGAGGAATTTGCAAGAGTTCTAGAAGATTAAAGTCTTGATTAGATGCGGCAAGAGTCAAAAACAGTGGTGCTAGCAGGTTCAAATTTGTCTTATTTCCCCTGCTCCATGACCAGCTCTTCTTCCCAACTGCTGGCCCTGATGACCACCAGCCCACCACCAGATGCAGAGTCAACCACCTCCATGGGCTTCTCCATCAGTTCCCCTTGGTGGTCCCATCTCAGCAGCTAGATGTATCCTGGCTTCCCAGATTTCTCTTTCAATTCCTACTTATCTACCAGTGCCAGTGTTTCAGGAAGATTAGTTAGTGACTTTATCTCTGATCCTCCAGCTCCGCTTTCTGGATTTTACTTCCCCAGATCCTCCCACAATTACATAATGTCTAATTGCTATAATAAATCCCTTATTCCATAACACTCATAGTGGTTCTGCTTCTCTGATGAAACCCTGACTGACACACAAGGCTCAGTTCATGTAACAGCTGTTCCTTGATGACTTCTTGACCATCCAGAGCATTTCCTCTACATTTCTCTGGTTCCATGTGTTTGTGGTCCTCCACTGGCATTACTCACACATTGCTTTGTATTGCATTTACATCCACATATGCCTTCATGGTGCTCAGAACATGGCTGGTATTCAGTAAGAGTTTAATGAATAAATGAAAGTTTACATGGCATATGTGTCACCATTCTCCTCTCTCACACTCGCAGCAGACATTATTAATTGATCTTACTATGCTTTCTCATCATGCTTGAGCTTAGCCTCACAAACCTTCTCTATGCAGTGCTGTAGATGGACAACTGGAGCTGGCCTAGAAGAAGAAACCTATCTGCCATACTGAAACCTTTGAGTATAATGACTTATACTTCTTAGGCAAATTAAATAAGCGTAGAAGGTTGCAGTGCATGCACATACTCAGCTCAGTAAATGTGAATTCCCTTCCCTACCTCCTGCCCCACTGCACCTGTCTTTCACACAGTAGGTACCCAATAAATATTTGTTGAATCAGAGAATGTCAGTGCAACCTTCACAAAATAAGCTGTACGATCTCTACAAACCAAAGCAACTCACACATATCTAACCTTTTAAAATAATGAATAAATAAAACGGCAGCTAGAGTGAACTTCCTGCATTTTAAGAAGGCCACTCCCACCATTTATGGTACTTTCAGAGCTAAAGAAGACAAAATACAAACAAGCCCAGGCCGCAACCAACAAAAACATGTAACATGCTGTTAAGTACTTGGAAAGAAGGAAAACCCTTCTAGCTTCTGTCCTCCTGGTATGATTAGTTCACTTCTTAGTAGCCATAGAAGACTACATAAGAGAAAAGAAGTCTGGAGGGAAAGCTTGGGTTCAAAGGAGTCAGGTAGAATTATTAGACAGGAAATATAGGGTCTAGAGAGGAATATTTCTTGTACATTTCTGATAAGGGAATCAAAATAAGGACATGATTGACTTGACCCTTGGAAATATTATTTTTGGTTTTTTCTGTTTTCCTGGCTTTGCCTTGGTTCCAGGCTACAACCAAGGCCCATATCTCTAAGAATTCTGGCAGGTACTTTCCATCCCTGTGCTCATTCTTCCCACTCCATTTTCTATTTCTGTGTATAGGATGTGATGATGTCCCTGGTCATCCTGGCAATCAATAATCGAAAGCATAGATGTGAAAGAAACAAAAACAAGATCAGCAGTGTGTTTATTCCAATGGGTGAGAAGGTAAATGAAATAAGCTTACTCTATTGGATAGACAATGTCCAAAGCAAATTTTTATCCCTAATCTTTGCAATGTACACATAAAGCCTTGGTGCTAAGCGGAAAACAAAATGCAATATTGTCCTTCCACATTCTTTTTCTCACTTGAAAATTGTGTGCCTGATTCCCATTGGTTTCTCATTAGGAGAGCAATTTCAAGACTACCTCAACTTAATTGACATGGATTCACACACCCAAGCCTAGGGAATGCATAACCTAACAAGTAACATGCTACATCCATTTTCTGCTTCTCCATCAATCAAAATGGCACTAAGTTTTGGGTAACTGTTAAATGTGAGACATTCCCATTTCCTCTCCACATTTTGGGAAGTACCGTCATAAGATAGAGCCACCGCCTTCAAGGTTTCCCTAGACTAAAAGCCATGTGAAGAATAGATATTGTTTTTATTTGTTTGCAACCCCAGGGACTGAAACAAGGCCTGGCACAGAGTATGTGATGAGTACATACGTGCTGAATGAATGAATGAGTTTTACTATATTGGTGTGGCAGGCAAAATAAATGCCCCCCAAAGATGTCTCCATCGTAATTCCCAGAACCTTTTTATTATCTTACTGCAGAAGGGACTTTGCAGGTATGATTAAGTTAAGAATCTTGTGGGACTTCCCTGGTGGTCCAGTGGTTAAGACTTTGCACTCCCAGTGCAGGAGGCCTCAGGTTCCATCTCTGGTCAGGGAACTGGATCCCACACGCCTCAACTAAGAGCCTGCATGCTGCAACTAAAGATCCCGCAGACTGCAACGAAGCTCCCGCATGCCGCAAGCAAGATCCCACCCGTCGCAACTAAGACCCAGCACAGCCAAATAAATAACTAAATAAATATCTATTTTTAAAGTTAAGAATTTGGGATGGGGAGATTATCCTGGATTATATGCGTGGGGCCCAGGGTACTCACAAGGGTTCTCATAAGGGAAAGAGGGAGAAGGGAAAGTCAGAGCCAGAGAAGGTGATGGGACGACAAAAGCAGAGGTCAGAGTGATGGAGGGCCATGAGCCAAGAATGTGAACAAACTCTTGAAGATGGAAAAGGCAAGGAGACAGATTCTCCCCTAGATCCTCCAGAAGGACACAGTCATGCAGGTACTTTCATTTTAGTCCAGTGAGACCCAGTTTGGACTTCTGACCTCCAGAACTATAAGATAGTAAATGTGCATTGTTTTAAGCCAGAAGTTCGTGATGCTTTGTTACAGTGGCAATAGGAAACTAATATATTAGCATTAACATTAATAAACCACAGCAGTCTTTTTTTAAATTGAGATATAATTGACATATAACATTGCACTATTTAATGGACAATAATCATAATGACAGCCAGCATTTATTGAGCACTTAGGGAGAACCACAGTACAAGATACTTTCTAGACATATCTTATTAATTCTCAGAACTATATCATAAGGTAGGTATTAAATTCCACTCAATTTACAGCTAAGGAAATGGAGGCCTAAAAATGTGAAGTTACTTGATCAAGATCACATAGTTAGCAAGTGGCAGAACAAGGAGTTGAAGTCAGGCAATCTGAGTCCATGTCATACTGAGGTAGGAGATAGATGGGCCCCTGGGATGGACAGCTGGTGTTTGTCAAATGGAGTAAAATTTAAGCTTTGTTCGCACCTAGGCACTCCAAAGACAAAGCTAGTGGCAGAAGCTGAGCTCTGCTGAAGTAAAGAGATAAGGTGCTCACTCCTGAGGTCAAGGAGGACTTCCCTGTCTGCACATGCGCAGGAAGTCTCCTTGGGGCTCAAAAAAGGAGGGAGCCCCCCATCCCATTAATAAGTGTGGACATGCACCCACAGGATCCTCTGCAGTGGGATCCAACTTAGCAAAAAGTTGTGCACGCATCTTGGGGAGGGTCCTAGGACCAGTCAGGTGTGAAAAAAGAAACAAGATAATTGGCCAAATGTAAACAAAGACCTGGAAGGACTATCCTATGTAAGTGATTTAAATCACCTCCTTAAAATCACCTCCTTAATGTGCTCCTCATTCAGGATAACCCCACTCCTCTCCGGGTGTGTATTTCTGTCCTCCTTCTGACTTAAATAAACAAACCGTTTCTCTGTGTGCTGTGTCTCTAATAATACATTTTGAACCTATTTTTGCAGTTTTTGCCTCCTTGAAACATTCTTGCTTTCAAAGGGGGTTAGAATCAGGGAACTTTGCTTCTAGCTTCTAGCCCCTGGTGGACTGGTGGCTAGGTTCAATCCCTGGACAGGGAAATAAGATCCTCCTTCAAGACTACTGTCCCTCCGAGAACAATACCATCTTGCATGCTCATGCTGAGAAGTGTGGGAAATGATAGAGAACCATAAGACATAGCCCCAACCTTCAAGTAACTTATAGATAGAATAGGAAGGACGATTCCAACACAGATGCCATGTTAGAGAGAGTATATCACAGATGCTAAAGGATTTATGACCTACATTTAAGAAAGTAAAGAGGACAAGAAAGCTGGAATATTCAGGATTGGATACAGTTGTACCTTGTAGGGCACCTGGGCCATGTCAGGCAGTACATCGTGGAGTTTCCTTCCAGTCTGGGGAAACGGAATGAAAAAAAGCATGTGAGCACGGAAATGGGGAAAGAAAATGGAAAGCCCTCAAGGGGGCAAATCTGAGAAAGAAAAACAAGAAGATAAAATACTTAATTATTTTTATGGGAATGGTACCACTTATTGAACACCTATTCCACCCTAAAGGGAACATTCACATTTGTTATTGTATTTAATCCTAACAAAACCTCTGCTAAATGAGTATTGTTAACCTCATTTTTACAAAAGAGGAAATTAAACATCCAGAGAGATTAAGTAATTGCTGAGAGGCAAGTACCCAGTAAGTTTCATTCCAAAATTCATGCTCTGTCCTTTGTTTCTTTCTGCCCCCAGTAATCTCAGCCTTTCTCTGAGGAGCAAATTTCCATTGAAGTGAGAATGACAGGCAGAGAGCTGTCTTGAAAAATGGAAAGAGCTGCTTCGGAAGCTGGCAAGTTGAGGGCAATCAAGCTGAGGCTAGTTTTATCCAGGCAGCTGTGGAACGAGCATTAGAGCATTATTCACAATCCTTGGGCTAAGCAAGGACAATAGAGAGATCACAGCAAAACGACACACATCTTCCCTGCCTGGCCTTATATTTAGCCAGGGAAACAGAAGAGTAAAAAGACTTTTCCACACCAACTTCAGGTTACTATTTACTTTTAGGAAGGGTTTGGGAGGGGTGGAGCTTTAGTTATATCATAACTTCTTATTTCATAAAAGAAAAAAGAGAAATCTGAAACATGTTTGGCAAATTACTAACATGTATTTAATCTCAGTGCTGAGCACACAGATATCTGTTACATTACTTTTCTTCATTAGTTTGTAATGTGTCACAATAAGGCTCAGATCAATGAACTTAAGAAGTATTGTTTTTACAACAGATCACCATAATCATAAATCATCAGTGCCATGCTAGTGGGAAGCACAGGTTACTACAGAAGGACAACAGAGGGGCATCTAACCCAATTTAAAAAGAAGCTGGAAAAGCCAAGAAAATGGATTCTCCCCTAGAGCCTCCAGTAGGACACATCCCTGTGAATACTTTCATTTTAGCTTAGTGAGACCTGATGGGACTTCTGACCTCAGCCATGTCTTCAAGAACCTGTAAGAGATACTTGGAAGTGTGCGATCAGTGTTTCCAACAGCAGTAAGCAGACTTCTCAGAGTAAGGGAGAGCAGGGCACATTCCTGTGACCTCTAGGGGTCAGCTCACAAGTCCTGACTGTGCAGGGAGAGGGGAGGGGAGGGGATCGATGATGGCTGGGACTCAATCAGGATAAACCTATGAAGCCAGGAAAAGGAATTTGGGTTTTATGGTAAATGAAATAGGGAGCTTCTGGGGAGTTTTAAGCCAGATAGAGATGATCAGATTTGCTTTTCAAAAAGATCATTCTGATGGGAATGAGAAGGTAAACTGAGAGGAAGGTGGGACTCAACCAGGTAGGCCAGGCAGGAGTTCATCACAAGATCCTAGATGTCCAGGGCTCTGAAATAACAAAGTTGCAGTAAGGATGAAGTAATGTTTACAGAGTATTTATGAGGCGGAATTTAAAAATCTGGTGATCCATCAGATGTAGGGAGGAGAGAGCATCGAAGGTAACTTCCGAGTCTCTTTCCTCGTAGATGTGCTGCTATTTTCTGTCATAAGGAACACAGGAGAAATAATTTTTTTAAATGAAGATGAATTTTCTACAAATGGTGCTGGAAAGACTAGATATCCATGTGCAAAAAAGTGAATCTTGACACAGAACTTACATCTTTCACAAAAATTAACATAAAATAGATCACAGAGCTAAATGTAAAATTCAAAATAAAACTCCTAGAAGATAACATAGGAGAACGTCTAGATGACCTTGAGTTTGGTGATGACTTTTAAGATAAAACACCAAAGGCATGATCCATGAAGGAAATAATGATAAGCTGGACTTCATTAAAATTAAAAATTTCTGCTCTGCAAAAGACACTTTCAAGGGACTTCCCTGGTGGCGCAGCGGTTAAGAATCTGCCTGCCAATGCAGGGGACACAGGTTCGAGCCCTGGTCTGGGAAGATCCCATATGCCATGGAGCAACTAAGCCCATGTGCCACAACTACTAAGCCTGCATTCTAGAGCCCGCGAGCCACTACTACTGAGCCCAAGTGCCAAAATTACTGAAGCCTGCGTGCCTAGAACCCATGCTCCACAACAAGAGAAGCCACTGCAATGAGAAGCCTGCACACCACAACGGAGAGTAGCCCCTGCTCGCTGCAACTCGAGAAAGCCCACACACAGCAATGAAGACCCAGTGCAGCCAAAAATAAATAAATTAAAAAAAAAGACACTTTCAAGAGAACGAGAAGACAAGCCACACACTAGGAGAAAATATTTGTGTAAGTCATATCTGATATAGGACTGTTATCTAAAATATGAACTCTTAAAACTCAACAGTAAGAAAAATAAAACCTCATTAAAAAAATGGGCCAACGACCTTAACAGATACTTCACCAAATAAGATATAAATATGGCAAATAACCATACTAAAAGGTGCTCCCTATCATATCTCATCAAGGAAATGCAAATTAAAACAATAAGATACAACTATACACCTATTAGAATAGCCACAATCTAAAACACCGACAACACCAAATGCTGGTGAGGATGTGCAGCAACAGGAACTCTTATTCATTACTGGTGAAAATGTAAAATGATACATCCACTTTGGAAGACAGCTGAACAACTTCTTGCAAAACTAAACATACTCTTACTACAAAGTCCAGCGATCATGCACCTTGGTGTTTACCTAAAGGTGCTGCAAACATATGTCCACACAAAAACCTTCACACATATGTTTATAGCAGCTTTATTCATAATTGCCAAAACTTAGAAACAACCACGATATCCTTCAGTAGGTGAATGGTTAAATAAATTGTGGTATATCCAGGCAATGGAATATTATTCAGCCCTAAAAAAGAAATAAGCTATAAAGTAATGAAAAGACATGGAGGAACCTTAAATGCATATTACTAAGTGAAAGAAGCCAATATGAAAAGGCTACATACTGTATGATTCCAATTGTATAACATTCTGGGAAAGGCAAAACTATGGAGGGAGTAAAAAGATCAGTGGTTTCCAGGGGTTAGAGGGGAGGGAGGGATGAATAAGTGGAGCACAGTGGATTTTTAGGTCTGTGAAAATACTCTATGTGATACCATAATGGTGGATACATGCCATTATACATTTGTCTAAACTAATAGAATGCACAACACCAAGACTGAACCCTAATGTAAACTATGGACTTTATGTGATAATGATGTGTCAGGGTAGGTTCATCAATTGTAACAAATATACCACTGTGGTAAGGGATGTTGATAATGGGGGAGGCTATGCATGTGTGGTGGCAGGGAGTGTATGGGAACTCTCTATACCTTCTGGTCAATTTTGCTGTGAACCTGCTCTAAAAAATAAAGCCTATTACATTTTTAAAAAAATGAAAATGGGAACAATTTTGAGAATGTTGCATATAAGTCCTGAGAATATATAAGTAGAAAGGTTTTAATGGGTAGTTTAGTATTATTACTTCATCCTCAATTTATAGGAGGAAACTGAGGCTCAGAGGGGTAAAGAATCTTGCTCAAGGTCAAGCAGCACATTAAGTGCAGAAGGTAGAATTTGAACAGTTTAACTCCCAAGCTCACACGGGTAGCCATTGTGAAATGAGGTTTGAGGCCTATCTTAGTTTCTTACTGCTGTTGTACCATTTTAAAAGTGGGAAGAGTAAAGGGACCTAAATGGAAGTAAGCTTTCAATACTTTACTTAAAGGGGTAAAATGTTGATACCAGTAGACCAAGATAAGTTATGTATGTATGTTATACATATATGTTATATGTATATGCATGTCTGTGTATAATTATGTGTGTATACACGCACACAACGCACATATGTAATGTACATATGTATATAAGCATACACATATGTGCACGTGCGTGTGTTATATGCATATGCATGTATGTGGACACACACAAGTACATGTGTGTATGTGCATGTCTTATATGTGTGTGTGCATGTTATGTGATATGTATGTGTATACGTGTGTATGCATATGTATGTATAAATGTCCGTGTATATTGTGTGTGTATGTATATTATAACGTCAATAGCAACCACTAAAGAAAATTATGCAGGGTGATGTATTCAAAAACATTGAAAATACAGGAAAATTGATTTTTTTTAAAGTTCAGGTAATACTCAGAGGCATAAAAGACAAAATGAGAAACAGAGGGAGAAAACAGAAAACAAATGATAAAATGGCAGAAGTAAGCCCTAACATATCAATAATTAATTTTAATGCAAATGGTCTAAATACTCCAATTAAAAGACAAAGATTAGGGACTTCCCTGGTGGTGCAGTGGTTAAGAATCCGCCTGCCAATGCAGGGGACACGGGTTCGATCCCTGGTCCCAGAAGATCTCACATGCTGCGGAACAACTAAGCCCATGCACCACAACTACTGAGCCTGTGCTCTAGAGCCTCTGAGCCACAACTACTGAGCCCATGTGCCACAACTATTGAAGCCCGCGTGCCTAGAGCTCATGCTCTGCAACAAGAGAAGCCACTACAATGAGAAGCCCATGTATCGCAACAAAGAGTAGCCCCCGCTTGCCGCAACTAGAGAAAGCCCGTGTGTGGCAATGAAGACCCAATACAGCCAAAAACAAATTAAAAAAAAAAAAAAAGACAACGATTAGCAGAATAGAAAAAAGTTACGATCCAACAATATGCAGGCTGTAAGTAAGACACTTTTTTTTTTTTTTTTTTTTTGCGGTACGCAGGCCTCTCACTGTTGTGGCCTCTCCCATTGCGGAGCACAGGCTCCGGACGCACAGGCTTAGCAGCCATGGCTCACGGGCCCAGCTGCTCCGCGGCACGTGGGATCTTCCCAGACCGGGGCACGAACCCGTGTCCCCTGCATCGGCAGGCGGACTCTCAACCACTGTGCCACCAGGGAAGCCCATGACACTTTAAAC